TTTTTTTTTTTTTTAAGTAGTTTTTCTTTTGCCACAGTGAGTGTTTTGTGTGCACTTGCAAACATTTGTCTAGAACAGTTGTTGAAAAATGGAAGAAATGAATCAAAGGGTATTCCGTTTGCCTAAAAAAAAAAAAAAAAGCTAGATGCCATGGGCTGGTGCCCCTGACTCTGGGGACTGCTAAGTGAGGCTGGAGCAGCCTGAGCTCTGTGCTCTGTGGCATGCAATGGGGGTGGGGCTGGAGGAGCCCCCTGGTTCCAAGGTGGCTGGGTTTGAGGCAGGTGTGAGGCTGCCATCAGTCGGTCAGCTCTTGACCTTGCTGGGCTATGCTCAGCTTCCTGGCAGCGTGACAGAGCCYATTGCTCCCAAGTGGCTGGGAGCAGCTTCTGCTTAGTGTGGAGCTGGTGTTTGGGAGGCTGCCGGGGGTGGGGGGTGGGGGGTGTTAGCTCACAGTGGTGGGAGCATGGGGTGGCAGCTCCCCCRCTTGGCTGAGCTCACAGCATCCTCTGAGTCACCTTCCTCACCTGCCTGGGGAGTGTGAGTTGTTCCTAGGGAGAGGCAGCACCCAGGAACTCACCAAATCTCCTTCTCCAGCCCCCATTACCTAGGCTGATGCCTTTGACCTCTGACCTGCCTGAGCCCCGCCCTCACTACTCCCACATCATTCTCCCCTACCCAGCCAGGTGATCCAGGTCCTCCTAGCTCCTCCCAGGTACCCTGAGTGCTTTCTTTCTGCGCCTTCTCCCTCTATCTGAATCGCTCTTCCCCTCACTCCTCTACCTCTTCAGGTCTGGTGACCTTCTCTGGGAACCATCTGGGAGCCTTTTTGGTACCCCACCCCTATCACTAGTTAGAGCCGAAACTCAATACCTAGCTGACATTTACCAAGAGGCTGGTAGTGTCCAGGCTAGGAACACAGACTGCAGTTTGACCTCCAGGGATTCAACTTCCAGTTCTATCACTATTTGCTGTGCATTCTTGGAAAAGTGACTGAACTAAACTTCTCTGTATCTCAGTTTCCCTGATTATAAAGATGAGGATGAAGTAATGTACCTACTTCTACTTCGTAAAGTTGTTGGGGTGTTAAACTGAGTTGGCAAATGTTGAAATGATATGAAAAGAAGTAGATAAGTGATATAAATTTTGCTTCTACATTATCTATTTTTACATATTCTCTTATTAATATATATTCTGATTGTCATCATTGTTATTGATCAGGTGCTTACTTCGTACCAGGCAGCCTGTTTTACATGTGTTACCTCAGTTGGTTAATCCTCACAGTAACTCTTTGAGGTTAGAGAATTAAGCCCCATTAAAAAAAATAGCTTGGGTTCAATTTGCACATTATAAAATATGCCTGTTTTAGGTGTACAAATTCAGTGATTCTCTGCAAATTTACAGAGTTGCACATCCATCACCACAATCCAGTCTTGGAGCATTTTCTCTTGCCCCTGTGTTGTCCCTCCCAGGGCTCGTCCCCAGCCCCAGGCATCCTCTAATCTACCTTCTGCCTCTGGATGTTTGCGTCTCTGGAGTCCAGCTCACGTGGAGTCATTCAGTCCACTGTGAGGGCTTTGTGGCTGTAGGCGGATGTTTTCTAGGTCCCCCAGGCTCTGGTCTGTGTGAGCGCTTCCTTCTTAGTGCTCTGAAGCGGTCTGTCGTACAGATGTGCCCACCTGGTCTGTCCATCCCCTGGTTGGTGGACGCTGGGGTCGTCCTTGGTTATGGTGGAMATGCTGCTGTGGACACGCGTGCTGGTCTTTGTGTGGACACAGGTTTTCGTTTGCTGAGGTGGTGACCCAGGGCTGGAATGGCTGGGTTCTGGGGTCTATTTCTGTTGAACTTCAAGGGCTGAACAGTTTTCTGAGTTGGCTGCACCGGGTTCTGTTCTCCCACCTGAATTCACAGATGAGGAACTGGAAACCCAGAGAGGCTAAGTCACTTGACA